TTTATGCAAGGAATTAGCAAAGAATCCATGGTAGAGGTAATGATACAGTTTTGTGCATCTTACCTGGATGAGAATACGTAAGTTTGTGATAATGAAACTACCAGCATAAATAAAATAAACAGAACCAATACTGTATTTTAATGTTCATAAATTATAGGTTATTAACCCCACAACATAAACCTACAGCAGTTTAGGTTACTATCTCAACGCAATACAAAAGAAACATACCCCAGGACCTCTTGCACACTAGAAACTCCCTTCTCATCCTTCACAGTGAGGATCCTTTCTCTGCCTCTGATACTAGATGAATTATCTGAGAATGCACGAGGTTACCTGAGGAACTCCTTTATACTGGAGCTAGTACCACCGGGTGATAGCTCTGTGGGGAAATATGTTGCACAAACCGAAAGGGCAACTTGACTAAAGTAGCATACCCATTCTTAGAGACAAATAACTGCCTTTATTTCTACAAAAGTACAATGAGAATGTGCAGGAATAAGAGACAGGTTAGGTGCTATATAGGGGGTGGCTGGTCCTTTCCTGTCCATGCATTACCTTAATTTTTCAAGAATTTTTCCGTCCCAATATCACTGGAGGTTTGGTTTTGTGTGAAATTCTGTACAACTAAACCTATGTGGGCAAGGAACTAATACTAGATGTCTGCAGATAACTCTATTTTTAAACATCACTGATAAGGGTTTTGATATTGGCTTTTAAGGAGAAGGCTGGGTTCTTTTGTTTCCTTAAGGGTTGGAGTGATACTATTTTATTTTACTTTATTAACAGATACTTTTACACAGTTAATGGTTTAAGTAGTAGAATAAGGTGATATAACTAGTTAGTGTACCTACTCCTAGTCTACAAGTGATGAAAAACAGTCACTCAAATAGTATTTGGCTTCATGATTTAGGTTGGTTACATTAAAATCAAAATTTCATGAAGACTCATGATTTCTCTATATAATTGTGCTCTGCATCAGCAGATTGCAATAAAGTGCCAAAAACTATTCTGCAGAAGAACGTCAACTTTTGTTCCATTTTTGCCTTTATTTCATTAAATGGTCGATCACCCCTCTAATCTAATGGAAGAATTAGTATTTTTCTGTGTAGCAAAACAAAATTTGATCATACTATGTCTAGAAAAGCCTAGGATTGAAAAATTAAGAAAGAAAGAATGTACCATTTCCGCAAAAATCTTCCTAATTAACTTAAATTTCAATATTGAGAAAAGTAAACGTCTGACAGCTTTTACAACCACATTAAAAGTGTGCACTAAATATCAGAACAGAGTAGGTGACTTCCGCAAGACCAGGAGACTAAAAAGCAAAGTTCTAATTAAAGTGGGAAGCCAAATTAACTATCTCCATAAAGCGAAAAATTTCGTTCTGAAAATCTAGTACATGCTGAAGTGAGAATCAAATTCCCTGAAAATTTAAAAAGTTAAAAGTTATAAATCATAAGAGATATGATTTGTTATTATTCACATCAGAAATTACAAGTAAACTGAAATGCCACTTGATTTTCTTTCCTTCAATGGGTAAATGAAAATAGGACAATTACAGAAAATTAATATAATCCTTTCTCACATTGTTCTAGAAAGTAAAGTTAATTTTGTATTGTCATTCAATTTCACAGCAGCTCAAAGACTTTGGCAGCAGAAAATGATACAACTCTGTTAAAGTTTACAGTGGTTCAATTCATGTTTTTTAGAAATATTTTTCCCACTTATTCTGTCAATTATATATGCTAAAGACCAGCTGTTTTGAATAAGAAGGTGATGCCTTTTCAAATGATGGCCTCATTAAAAAAAAAATCCAGATACAATCATGTGTATAGTATAGTGCAAAATACTGAGTTGAAACCCAAAAGCTCCTTAAAATCAGCTATAAACTGCCAAAGTCCATTGCGTTCACTAGCTTCAGCCCCGTGCTTGTTAAAATACAGCAAATGGGACACTGAGTAGTTGCACAACTGAAAAAAAAAATGGAAAAGTGCCCCTCCCTCTCTTCAGCTGACTTGTCTGGCTTGCTTTCAACAACTGTTTTTCTTGCACTCAGATTAAGTGGGAAGAGATCAAAAAACCAGCTGTGTGGCAGCTCTCACTGAGGGTTGTGAAGTGAACTCAAGGTCCAGCTGCTGCCCCATGACTTCTTTGTTTCCTCTACTAAACAAAACTGCAGCCTAAAGTTTACCAACTTATTCCCAAATTCAGCCAGCAGGGTTCACACAGCCTAGCTATAGAGTTATTCTAACATCAACTTGGTAAAACCTAACAGGATAGCTTTAAGACTGAGCAGCATGACTCACAGATGGGTGGTTAATCATGGAAATTTTGCTTTTAAAAAAAAACCCACCCCACACTCATGGGGACATGCTAACACTTTAAAAGCAAATTGCCAAATCCATTAAATGAAAGTGTCATCCAGAGTCAATCTAGGCAGGCTAGCAGAATTGTGGAAATCTATTAGAGGAATCTGAGTATTGAGAGCTTTTTTGATCAGTTCAGCCTAATACAAATCTTGCCAGTTCTCACCAGCATAGTTTGTAACATTAAATGGCCGATATTTACTGTAGCAGAGATGCACTTTCTCATCCCCTTGACTAAAATGAGAGCATCCCACACTCATTTCTCTTGCTCTTTCATATACTGCCTAAAAGATCTTCTTAAAGGAGATGTTTTATTTTCTATGTGGACTGAAGGTAATGAGGATGTACCATAAGTCTTGTATCCTGTAAAGCCTGAAACGATTGAGCTCTTGTAGACTAGTAAGTTGGTAGACAGTATAGATACATTCTAGCTGACCTAAGAAAGGAAAGAAATCAAACTGGCTCTGCTCACAGTCAGTAATAACCAAAACAAATGCAAAGTAAAGCAAAGCAGGGCATATCCTCTCAACAATTAAAGCCTCAATGCTGAGAGGAGTCAAGGGATAAGGAAAGCACAAGAGATGGCAAGAGGACAAGAGAAGCAAAGGGAGATCGCAAGTTAAAGGGAGAAGAAAGGGGGGGACAGAAATTCACAGCATAGCAGGGAGACAATGGACAGAAGTCCTGGGAAGCAGTGAAAGGAAACAGAAATGAAAGGAATAAACAGGAACTGGGAGATAGGACAGAGTAAATGAAATGCACAGACACACACTGGTTTCTTACAATCATCTGTCCTAAATTATCTTCACTTTAATTAGGAGCAAAAGAAAGTCTCCAAAGTTATAGAAATGCTACGGAACGGAGGCAAGCAAGTAAATAAAAGCTCACAAACACAGCAAATCAAAGTAACACAGCCAGCTTCATCACCACAAAGACTACGCTGGACTCTATGTTCTTTCACAGCAGTTTTCATATTGTTAAAATCCCCATTAATTTTTATTTTCCTCTTATTATCTGTTACAGTACAAAGATACAGCCATTGTCTGCAGAACCGCAAATCTAATATTTGCTCTTTGACAGAAACATTATATACTTTCCAGAGTCCAGCCATGTGGTAGTTTTTATCATTAACATTGAACTTGTACATGTCCTAAAAACCACACTAACTTCCACTTAAGTTTTAATAGGTTAAGTAAAGGATACCACATGATTGTAAATCTTCTCAGTTCATTTCTAAACTTCAAAACTTAACTGCTATTTACATTGACCAGTAGTTCATTAACTTTCAGAAGCTTAGAGGCCTGTAACAAACCTTTAAGGTTAAAAGGCAGGCATAAAAATAATTATGATACAGTAAATCTAATGGTTTTTTTGAGAAATGTATATGGTATTACTGAGATGCTACTTCATATGGTTGCACTGCAAGACTGATTTATTTAAATCCCTTTTTAAGGATTAGAAATTGTCACAGATATTATTAACACTTGTAGCTGCGTGTATGCAAATGTTCGAAAAAACTAGGCAGGATGCAGTTTAATCTCTCACCAGCATGCCTAATAGATTTTTGATATCAGGGAGATTTTAAGTTTGGCAGCAAGACAAACTTGCTAGACATGTTTATAAACTTCCTGGCAGATCTGAATCTGCTTAGCTTCAAAAAAATCCTAGCTAAAAGCATTACCATATTAATTGGTTATATGTCAAAAATGGAAAATGAAGATGTTCAAAGTACTTGTCCTTTTAATATTTATATGACAAAATAATATACAAAAATTTACAATACTCACAGTTGCCACCTGCTCTGTTACCCCTTTGTCCCACTGAGTTTTCAGATTCTTTGTATGGAAATTGAAGAGTAGTATCCAAACTTCGGAAGCCTTCTTTGAGAGAGTGGTGCTTATAGTATTCTACAAGTTCCTTTCAAAAAGGAAAAATATTATGTCATTGGAAATTGAAATCACATCCTTTTCAACATTTTGGTGTACAGGCAATGACAGTTTTATCATACAAATAACCTTATTATAACCTTATTTTATAATACAACATCCCACAGTATATGTTCATTTTCAAAAAATCAAGTACCTAAATACTGACTGGTTTTACACTGCCACTTAACGGGTTTTGGGGGATTTTTGGTTTTGTTGGTTTCTGGGTTTGTTTGTTTTTGTTTTTTGTTGTTGTGGGGTTTTTTTTTAAGTAAAACCTTATTGTCAGAGTCAACACTTACTGCTCCTTTGAGCCAGGCTGGCATGTATTTGCTTTTTCTGAAGTCAGGCAGAAGGCAAGATCAGCTGCTTGTTAAGTATCTAACGTCTTTGTTATGTATATAATGTCTTTGTTTTCTCAAATTTCTTTTGCAATAATGTGGTGTTTATCCACATGTGCATTTGTAATTACACAGATACAAAATAAAGCATAAGGCTTGTGTATAAGTCAACAGCAGATACACGGACCATGTAAAACGTCAGGGCTTGCCATTAAAATTTGTGGCAATTTTTTTTTGGGGGGGTGGGGTGCGGGGTGCAGAATATGTCACTGCACATTGCCTGAAAAATCCAACAGTTCACATTTTCCTTGGACCCAATCAAAAAATTTGTCTCTATGTGTGTATATATCTAAACACACACATACCCGGACACATATACACACAGAGATGAATTTTATATATACGCACACACACAGATATGAAAATATAAAAAACTGGCTCAAATAGTTCATGTAACCAAGGAGATAAGTCACTTCAGTTTCTATTCTAAAGAAGGCAACACCCATCTAAATACTGACAGCTCACGTTACTCCTTTGCTAACTGCAACCCCTGCCATTGTCTCTTACGTTTGAATCAGCCCTGATAATGTCCATACTGCACAGTTCGCACATAGAGCCTAGAATAAGATTAAAAGTGACCAAACAATTCAAAGCAAACCTATTTCATTTGATTAATGATACTTCAACTGTGGGATTTCACTCTTCAGAAATGCAAGCACAAAGCAATGTATTTACTGTAAACCCTTCACTCCTACCAGTAACTCAACTTACTTACATTTAGATTTCCAAAATCAAAGTTGACCAAGGCAAGCTTGGGTCAAAATAAGGAAGTAGTACTGTGTTCAATCACTTCCTTCTAGTTAAAAAAAAAAAAAACTTTAACAAAATTATTAGCCTCAACAGCCTATATCAGTTCAGTGATATATTAATTCCAGCCAAACAGAATGACTCTCAAATTATTTAGTCCAAGATCTAGTGCATAAACCCTAAGTTCTTCATAATAGTATGAAGATTATCTTCTGAACTGAACTTTGGAGCACTTCACTCCCCACACCATGAAATGTTGCATGTCTCTGAAACTGCTTTGAAAGCAGAGTCCAAAGCTAAGCAAAATCTACACCTGCTTTTAACAGTTCATAATCACAGACCTGCCAGGCACTCCAAGCAAGCAGACAGGCCAGGAGACAAGAACTGTTTGGGCTTTGTTGTCTGATACCAGCACAGCACGCAAGCTACCACATCAGCAACCAAATTTTCCATCACATATCATCACCAAATGCCCAGACATTCAAATTACCAAGGCAACAGAGAGGGTGATTTGTAAGTAAGCAGCATTCAAAGTAGGATTTCTGGATAAATTGAAAAACAATTAGTATGAAAGTTATGTTAACTTTTTGCACCACATAAATCTGTAAGAATTACTCTGTTTAGTAAAGAGAGTAAGAATTTCAACTGGACAGATTGTATTTGTTGGCAAAATAAGTAAAAATGGTTCCAAACTGAGAAAAAAAATTTACTTTGGGTCACAGATTCAGTTGCTTTTAAAAGCTTAGTTTTTAATACCATTCTTCCATGAAAACAGTCAACAAACAACTGGCCTCTAAAACATTCATTGCACAAACCACAGTAGCAAGCTTACAAACAGGTAAGTAAGGTAAGTAGCCCCTGCCAGCCCGGATGGGGCTCCTCGGGAGTCTGTCACATGGCCGTGATTCTCAGCAGCAGCAGAGCTGACCTTTCACTGCACCTTGGCCTGCTTTACACACTCAGCACATTTTCATTAGTCTTCTGAAAGTTTTTCAAATGTATTATGAAAACTATGTACAAGAGCTGTTCTACTTTTGTTACCGCCAAAGTAGCACAGAACACTGTGTCACAGAGATCGCTACTTTAGGTTTCCATGGCTGCTGGCTTTGTCTCTCTTTTGCTCCCAGTTCTACTCGGACTACTTTTGTTCCTCTCTGCTTCCAGACACAGTTACTTTTTTTTCCTTTTACATCTACTCAGAACAAAGGAGGTGTTGCACAGCACATGCAAAGAGTACTTGCACTATCACTTGTCTATTTAACTCTCAAGGGTAGATTTCGTAATACCCTAAAACTGAGTTATGAAATGACTTTTTCCTAAATTGAATACTAGCAAGGCTAAATTGGTAGCCATGAGGCCTTTACACTAGAAATTTCTTTTGTCCTCTCAATTCTTTGACACAATGCATATTCTTTTTGTTTCTTTTTTATCCAATTTGCATCCTGTACTTGTATCTCTGATCATTCAGCTCTATTTTGAAACCTGCATCAGTGCATTAAACTGCATCATTGCCGTACGAAGATATCTGGCCGCATGCGACTCCAGCTCACATGCTTTGTCAAGATCCTGTGAGTACTCCTATGTTCTCATCAGTTTCCAGTGAATCCTTTGTAGCATTTGCAGACTACGTAGCCACCTGCTTCATGTATTTGAGGAAGCCATGATTTCTGTTGCTACCAAAGATAAGATCTCAGGGTCCTCAGCCCTAACGCTAAACACTTGACTGTTTTTTAAGTGTCAAATGAAGGCATTAAAGTGCGGAAACAGCTTGGTGCACTCTTCATCAGGAAATGTATGTTCTTTCCATTCTAATGGGCACTTATTTCAAATAGGGTCAGGCCAGGCATAGATTTCTGCTTGACTTTTTAACATTTGTAGGATGCTCTTGCTTTACAGAGTATCAGTGGTTAAATTAAAATAATTTCTATGGCTTCCTGGTTTTAAAGCTTCTCTCCCTACCCTGGTTTTGCATTGTCCTTCATTTTTATTTATTGTTTTAGAGTACTTGGATATGCATGCAGGAAGGCCACAATGTAAGTTTTAATCCAATTGATTGCACCAAGTATAACATATTGAACGAGCTTCCTTTAACAATGCATCACAAAATGCTTAAGCAGTAAAATGTTACAAATGTACTAAGGTAATTTATTTAGACACCTTGTATTTACAAGTCTTGTCTGAGCAAAATGAGCTATCAAGAAATTCTTTCACATTAAAGTTCAAAAAAAGGAATTTCTTCCCAGTACAAGATGACTCAGATGTAACATTGAAAACTCACTGATCTGGGCAGTTATAACACCAAACTCTTATTTCTGGAAATGAACTATATGCCTACAGAGTGAAAGTTAATAACAGCGCCTATGTTTTGTGTGTTATTACTATAGCTTACTAGTCAGTGGTTTGCTGCCAAAGTTTGAAGTAGCCACACAGCTGCTTTAATTTAGACTACTCAATATTGACTCCAGATTACTATTATTCCAACAAGGATTTCTGAGCTATTAGCAGTTTAGAGAGCCCCATTCTCTAGCTGCACTTCTTTGCCTGGTGCATCAGGAAGACCAGCCTCTCCTGAGTTTTTCTGGACTGACACAGCTCCACCTTACTATCCTTCTCCCTCTGAACTTACACATCAATAGGCATCATTATGGTCAGCAGCACACATGTGCGTGTGCTGGGAAGGAACCTTCACCTGCTACTTTTAGGGATCATAACTATATAGAGAAAGATTTCCAAAGACATCATTCTCCTTTCAAGATTCAGCCTAACTCCATAGTGGGCTGATGCATGGGATTCAAATTCCTCCTTCTCTTCCATATCACTGCAAGGGAAACAGCGCAATCTTAAATATAAATATGCGCTTTTAAGCACATAGCTCCACAACTTAGAGCATAAACTGTATATATAAAAAATCATCCTATTACCAAGTCTGGACACAATTCAAATCTCTCACAGCCTTCTGTAATTTCACAAATCAAAGTAGCTCTCCCTAAGAGCAACAGCTAAAAAGAAAATCGCACATTGTTAAAAACCTAATCAATGCTTACCATTAAATTTTTAAATTTTCTGTTTTCTGCAATGTGAAAAAGGCCATCTCTTGTTAAAATCTTGATGTGTTTCACTTCGTTATTGTACCTGTGGGCCACGAATATCTTATGAATATAAAAGTAGTTTTAATCAGATGCAATCAATAATTACCTGAGGACATGCCCCAATAACACCGCGCAAATAAATTCTTAAGACACAATGTACATCCATGCCAAAACAAAGTTGACATCTAATTAACTAAGTGTATTTATTATGGTACAGCTGAAGAGGCAGTCTGTATTCAGAAAAAAGTCACAACTAACTGCTTATTCTAATTGGGAATTCCCATATATTTCTTACTTGTATATTTATGGTGATAAACAACATGAAAGCAAACAAGGCCCTCAATAATTTACACCCACAGAACTTATGAACCCACATTTTACTGAAATGTCTGAGATGCAAAGAGCTTTGACAAGTTCTCACTGAAGTCAATGAAACATTCTTATTCACTTCAGAGAAGCAGACCATATTACACTCCAAACACTTGCTTACTCTTACCCAACATACTAGACCACCATTTTTGTAGACCTGTTTGCTACACCTGCATTATAAAACCATTGCTATCCTCCTACTACAAATCCTGGGTATTTTTGTCAGCAACTGCAGTTTTCCTATATTAACTCTCTTAAAGGCTGTGTATGATTATATAGATTGAAACTGAATATTCTTATTTCCCTTATTTATTTCAAATATTATCTAGACATAAATGAGAACAGGAAAACTTTCTGTAGGAGATCTTATTCCACTTACTTAATACTAATGGCATATTCTCCTGATTCTTTGGTCCTGTGCCGCACCAGGTAAGTGCTATTTACTCTGTTAATAAGTTCACTCTCAGCTTGCAATCTTTCCATTGCTCCTGCAAACCTGTAACAGAGAATAGAAAAAAGTTGCCTATGATTTTTTCAAAGCTACAAAGAAAGGTCTATCAAATATGTAATGCTGAGTCCTGATATTCTGCATATGAGATCCAATCACATCAGTTGCAATTGAATACCACTTCCAGATCTTTGAATGAAGAATAAAGCATGAAAAAATTCTGCTCTGGGAAGGGGGGAGGGCAGAAATTCTTAGTTAGAAAAGTACTTGTGCACATGTTGAATACAATGCCTGTTAAGGAAAGTACCCGAGCCTGAGCATTAGTTGAATGACTACAGGCTTGAATAGCTCATATAACCAAATGTTTTTCTGTTAGAAGTGAAACAATAAAACTGTGGTCCAGAACCTTTCAACCTCTCCGAGCTTTAGTGGGATTTATCTTAACAGAGTGGAGAATCAGCTACGAGTAGTATATTAGCTCAAAACAAGACCTATACAAAAATTTGGTATATATACAAACACACTTTTTATTTGGTTTCATAATTATTCATAACCTCTAAAGGCTAAAGTGTAAAAGGTAAACTAAACGTCCACAAGCAGAAGAAAAAAAAAATCAGTTTAATATGTCCAAATGTAAAAGAGCTGATGCCAAGAGTTGAAAGCTAAGACAAGTCATGGATTCTGCAGCCTGACTGCATAAGCAGATTTACGCCCTTGCTCTGCCTTGCTGGTTTGGGTTGGACTTCATGAGAGGCTGTCAGCAGGCATTTATTTGCAAAATTAGAGGTTAAACTGTTAATTGGGGAAAGTGACCTAGCTTCCAGGGAAATTATGCTTATTTTCCCATTTTAGAAAGAGTCTAAAGGCAGTAAACACCACGAACCACTACTGTGTAAAGTTTCAAACTAATACATCACTACCAATTAGAAGGAGCTTTAAATAAAAAATGGGTTTTTATGAAACACACCAGGGAACATGCATTTTGAAGCTCATCACAAAAATACATGACTTTTTATAGCAAGTTTCAGCCTAAAGTCAGTTTTTCAGTTAAGTATTACAAATCCTTAGAAGATAAAGACTGATCCCAATGATACGCTTTCTTTTAACAAAATTATAAATAGAGCAAATTTTAGAATTTAATTTAAAATACCAATTTTTAATATTAAACATTCTATTTGGCTTGTTATGAAAAATCAGTATTTGTTTAGATCTGATTCTGATTGCACTTTTGGCAAACTAGAGGAAATCAGAACTCGCATCTAAATGACAAAGCATAAAACCAGTGAAAGAACCCAAGTGATACTTATTCTGTTCTCTCAGAATCACCATGTCTTTTCGGGAAGCAAGCTGAACTCCAGTAAAGAGTTCACACACTACATAAGCCCCACACCAGCAGTGGTTGTGGTTTTAATGCACTGTCCTTTTATATCTCTACAGTCTTTTAAAAAAAAAAAAAGCAGAATTATACATGGGACAAGATATATTTAACATTATTCCTTCTCTTTATTCACTTAACATGTAAGATCTACTTGTGAACTTCGTATTATACTCATTTCTTATTATTCTATTTCAGACCTCTGGGACTAAGGCTGCACAGCTACAGGCCTGTAAACAAAATGTCAAAATCATTAAGCACTTTATTACATCAGGAATGCTTTTAGGGAACACATGGTGTTGCTTTCCCAAACCATTACATAATGCCTTCTTCAGAAGCCTAGAAAGGTTAAACCAATATAAATTAAACTGTAATAAACACACTTGTCTTTACAACTGCTTCTTTCTAAGAGATTCTTGTAAGACTAGACAGGGACTCACCACAGTTGTGAAGAGTAGTCTACAGGTTTAGGAACCTAGGACATGAAAAGATAGAAGAGAATAAGGATCAAGATTTTTTTCTAATCAACACAAATTAGATAGCATTGATCTAATTGTCAATATCCAGATGAAACAAGTTAAAAGAAACAGATGATCTAATTAGTCTGCAAGTCTATTTTCTTTTGACAGAAGTTATAATGAAGGACAAATATTCCATACCATTCTGGAAGTACTCAGAATATTTTAACTCTTTGCTGCTGTGACAAATTTTTTTACTTAATAGAACTGTTAGAAGTTTTTCTGACAGTGCCTACATTCAACTTTCATACATAAAATAGTCCAATGCTACATATTGTTGAAAAGTATCATTAAAATGTGCAACAAATTTACAGTAACATATAAAGTTCACTTCATGGATGGCCTTAGAAAGACTGTCTACTAGAAAATAGAGTATATGATCTTCTGATAGACCGTATTGTATGACATCACGCATACCTTTCTATTTGACTTGGTTAGCTCTTGTACTGGATTTTAATAAGCATGGAATTTGATTCTCAAATTCAGTTTTCAAAGTAAGCAAACTACAATCACTTTGCAAAATGGATGCTATACGTATACATAAACATATGCATAGATAATGTTTACACATGCACAAGATGCACACTATAGCAATCCCCATGAAAATCAGCATTTCATCTTGACCATCTCCCACTGGTGCATGATACTTCAGTATTACCCTACTCTTCTAAAACAACATGTGAAACTTGCAAAGTGCTGAAAAATTGATTTTAGTGGAAGCTAAACATACATCTTGCAGACTTATAACCTAATGTCATATATTCTTAGATAAGCAAATGAATTATTTTTTTTTCCAGTAAAACCAAAGAATGTTTTATTATTTTCTGGAATCTAATAGGGAAAAAATTACAGTAACATTCTCCTTACATTTTTTTTTTATTTATGATATATAGAATGTCTTCAACAGAGAGTTCCATACACAGATCAGCTGAGGAATATATTGTTATACAAGCCTACAAACTTAAATTAATTGAAATTGAAATCAATTACAATTCCCACTAACTTGACATCAGGTATCAACTGAGGTCTCTACCAAGTCTCTAGACCCGACCTTGAAATAAACTCCAGTGATAGGACAAAAAAGCCCCCCCCAAAAAAAACAAAACAAACAAAACCCAAAACACCCCAACGTAAAAACCCCATCTCCCTGCATATATAATTACAGTATTCTGCAGCTGAAGTTGCAAGAGTCAAGAAATGCAAAATTTGTGTTGACCTGTCCAAAATGCTATTGTATACTCTAGCAGTATTGCTGAGGCAGTAACATGCAGCTTTCAAATGGAAAAAAGCAGAATAGGAAGCTATGAAGAGAGTATTGAACCAGGATATTGTAAACTAGATGACAGCAAACGGTCTGAGTTGAGGGAATATACAGAGGAATATGATATTTAGAGGCACTTATGTTATTAACATATTATCTTGCAACCTCCTCAAAAAAGCAGTTACAGGAATGCAAAATTACTGAAACAAGTAAGAATTGTTAGACTTCCACCATTTTCAGGCTCTCATCTTCATGCTAAGAAGCCTCAACACTAGAGTTATAAAAGCATTTACTCCAAACACTTCACTTAAAACACGGGCTAAGTATTTTCTTAGATAACTTCAGAACATTTTTTTTGTATTGAGAAAGATTTCAAAAAGCTTAGATTAGGAATTAAATTAGTATCTCTCCTAACTTCTCTTTTTCTACATAAGTAAACAAAACTGCTCAGATTTTTGTCATAGGATATAGTTTTGGCTAACTTTAAATTTACTCAAGATGTAACTTCTATCCCTGCACTGGGAAGATTCATTTCCATGATCTAAAATTTGCAGAGTTCACAAAGCTCTGCTTACTGCCTTTGACATAATGGTCACTCAAACTAAACACATAACCGCTTACTCGAATGCCTCTCAACCCAAGATTTTTATGATAAAAATCTGAATTTTACAGGACAGCCAAAAACTTACATTTTTTTTTGTAAATAACACAGCAGACACTAATATGGAATACATTAAAGTTCTCTGTGATAAAACCACAGTCACACGTTCAGCTTGCACAACTGTAGATCTATCCATGTGTTAAAACTGTCATTAAGTCAGTCTAGTTCTCAAGAGAGAAAAAGAAAATATGCATTACTCTCAAATAGTATAGACAAAGGGCTCTCAAACAGTAGCATTTGTAGTGCTGGTGGTATGCAAACCCCTCTGAAGCATAGGGATCCAAACGCAGCCAGGTACTGCCACCGGCAGCAGCAGTGACACTTCGTATCCCTATAGCTCCTGATGGTGTAACGCAGGCACCTCTGCTTCTAATGCTGAGACTTGGAAAACAGTCAAGGTTATAAATATACTGACACAGAATTCCTACGAGAAACGTTTTAGCGAAGTGACCAAATGAGACATGTCAAGGGCAACTAGGCACTTACAGAGTCTTTACATGCTGCAAGATATTTCAATAATACATTTCACCTACAGAAAAATTGCACCTTTAATGATTTGTATTATCCCCCATAGGGCTAATTAAATAACATGCATTCTGCATTCTATCAGCAGCAGAAGAAAGAATAGTTTAAGTCAACATTCTTAATTTGTCAAGTAGTCCTACTATGTTGGAAAGAATATAAAAATTCAAAGACAGTTTAAGTCCATCCTTCAGAGCAGTTAAACCACTCAGATGAGTATTTAGTTTCATTAATTTTGAATGGACCGATATACATATATAACAAATGTTGTTCATTGTCACGAAGTACAGCAAAATCAAATGTTATTCCAGAAGCTCTTGGCTCATACTGTACTATGCACTTAATGCCTCTATAGAAATGAGAAAACTGGAAGAAAGCTAGGAAGAACCAGATATTACTCATATGGTGCAGAAAATGTCTGCTGACATACACTACTTATTGCAAAGAGGAAAAAATTGTTTATAGGTACATCTGTGAAAAGTCTGGAATATAGATATTCTAGAGCTCAGCAGTTTTTCATTCAATACTCATTTCTAAAGTCTTTTGATGTATGTATTTTATGCTGTTTCTGGGCATTTTTATATCAGCTGGTTGTAAAGACTGTTAGACTTAATAATAACAGTAAAAGTTATAGCATGTTTAAAACCTGATTGATGTTTCAGTATCTTTAACTGCATCATTTATCATAATAAGATGTTTGTATTTCATCCTTCCAAGTTAACAGTGGTGAAGCATCAATTTATCTTTTTGTTCTGATGATGACGCCAGTTGGTAACATGTCATGAATAATATTTATTCATTCTGTAAAACTCTATTATTTTCAATACTCCTCTAAATAGTATATTTCTGCTAAATTTAGCAGAAAGCTTTATCACTAGAAAGCAATCTTCTTAACACCCCAGTAGCGATTTTCCTAACTTTACATATCTGCTTCCTCTGCTTCAAAGTATAGCGGTGGTTCCTAAAACATTGCTACAGTTGCTGTCAATGATACTATACAATGACTGACTACATGGCTCCAAGAACCTAAAACCAGTAACCAATACACAGCAGGTACTGCCCGTGTTCACGACAGTGACACCATGGCATGGGAAATCCACACCTTTTACAATAAGCAAGGAGTGGAGGAAAGAAAGCTAAGTTCACGTAACATTTTCATCTTTATTCCAGACCTGTTCTCTCACCCAGTCTAACATACCTTGCACCTACAAATATTCTGTGCATCTCTCTTCAAACAAAATTCAGAAAATACAGGGTACTAAAGATCTCTCGAGATACACTAATGTATTTCTATTCTTTAGGATCACATGTATATATCACATGTATATTTGTTTTAGAAACTAAGGCTCAATATAAGCCTTAAAGGCATATCAAGATACAGCCACTAACAGCTTAATCCACATACTTATAAACCATTTAAGTGGCATATCTTGATTGCTGTAATGAAAGCAATTCTATTAAGAAGTCAAACTGTTGTGAATCAAGTTAAAAGACGTTAAAGCTGTCAAAGCAAACTAAGGAACACGATTCATCACTGGATTTAGGTGTTTATAACAATTTATCTCAACAAAGAGACATATAGTAATCTGATGCAGTGTTATAGAGGGCAGAGAATGAAGGAGCAAGCATATAGTATATTAATGCATCATCACATCTGTATACAAAACTCTTGAGTACATATTATAAAATACTTTTTCTTATTGTTGTCTTGAACTTTTCTAGATTGAGAGCATCCTTGTGTGAAATGAAGGCAGGTAAGAACCTAAAGAGAGGACAAAATTTATCGAGCAGTCTGAATTCAAAGTTTTATATTAGTTTTACTCTTATGCATTTTTAAACTCACTACTTACGCTGTAATCCCTCTCTCTAACCCAAAGTGACTGGGGAATAGATTAGAACCACAGCATTCTCACCTTACTGCTGGGGAAGAAAGAAAGTGCGCTTTCACATAAAATGTGTTTGTCTATGCTCTGGAAACTCTTAAAACAGTTCAATTCATTAATATTCCCAAAAGTCAAATCTGCTTCTCAAACATGTTTTCTTGACGTGTCCTATTTACATCTGATAACCAAAAGTATTAGAATGCTGTATTTTAAGCAATATTGAACAAACCACGAAAACACAAAGGAACTAGAAAAACAACAATAGGATTTTTGTAAGGTAAGATTAATAAAGCAATAGTATGAACTAGGCAGTTTTTCTGTAAGGTGACAAATAGAATTAAACAATTGTACTTACACATGGGCTAGGCTTTACTGCATCACTTGGGAAGAATCCAAGCTCTCCTGTTGTTAGATTTCTGCCCTAAAAGAAAAAAACCACATAATTTTCCATTTTTGAGACATAATGGTGATTAATAGTAAATAATAATATATGCGCAGGGATTTAGGACAATAAGAGCACATCAAAGAGTCTTTAAAGTGTTATTCAATAGTTGTGTGGTTGTTGGGGGGGGCAGTATTTATATAATTCAGTAATCATTATAGCTGATACACCCCAGAGTTCCAAGAGATAAGATGTAAGAAGGGGGCTCAGAGCCTACATTGCAATTCCTAGTTCTGTCATTGTCTGCCAGGGTCTGATATCTTCATTAACATTCATTGTCTCGTTTCAAGTTACTTCCTCCTTAGCTGGCATCACTCTAGTGAGATCTGCCGCGCTACAGATCCCCAAAACTAACGAACTAACATTACAGATCCCCAAAATGACCACACCGCTATGCAGTGGCAGTTGCAGCACCTGAGAAATCACGCTCACTCCCATGGAAACTTACAACTAATAATCCATCAGCCAATTCAGATACAAAGTTCTCTAGTTAAGGGTTTCCACAAGTGATGCAAGTCATTGGAAATCAGGTGGGCATGAGAATACTAGCAAAACTAAATATTAACTCTCTACGATATTGTCATAACACATTGCAGATGTGCCCAGAAAACTAGGAGACTAGCTGCAGAAATGCACCCAGCATGGCCTAAAATTAGCCTTTTATGCAACACAACCGCTGCCCCAGAGTGGCAGGGCCACCAATTTTCTCTGGGCTTCTATGGGCCAAAAGTGACTAGATCACCACAAAGCCATGCCTCGGCAGCTCACAATTCACCACCAAGCTCTCCTGAAGAACATCTCCTCAACCAGACAGAACAGCAAAATGTAAACATGTTTCTAGTCCTAGTAAACATTTGGCTGTGACCACGCTGACCACATTTTTCAGAGTAGCACAGAGCACATAGCTAAAATTTCCAAACACAGATACATAAAATGAAGGTATCAAAATGTGTATTTTGGCAAACAAGTGTTTTCATTTAACAGATTTTTTAAAAGCACATCAATGACTAATAGCCATTAAATTTAATATATTGACTGTAAATATAATATACAATCAGCATTTGGCAATGAGAGTAAGAATGAGTACTTTACAAGCATTGTAATCTTGAAAATTACATTTACTTTTACTTTTTATTTTTGATAACATACCTGTAACAAAAAAAAAGGGGGAAAAATTATTCAGAAACAGACATGGAATTCCTTTGGGATTTTAGCACACTTTGTTTCTGTAACACGAAATGTGTAATTGTACCCTAATACCACTACACAAAGCAGAATTCAGCAATTTCAAACAGGGTAGAGCTGAATGTAAAAGCAAGAATTAACAAGGATTTATGAAAAAATGAAAACATGCTTTTATTGCGATACCCTAAGCACAATAAATGAGTGCATTGTTTTTCTAGGGAGATCATTACGCAATTTATCACACACAGACAGTGACCCCAGTAACTGCCATCTTTACCAAATATACAGAGAAGTGCAGAGGAGGCAGAGGAGAGAGAAAAGCAGTCAAGCAGTATTTAAGCTGTCATATGCTGAATAGCAATGATATGCAAATAATTATGTGCAAACAAGTGACAGTCTTACAGATCTGAAGCTGTGTTCAGCAAAGCTTCCTTGCCCTCTTTTCCCACTACCTGCTTGAATACAGGTTACCGTTTGCATCTATGTATTCTATTTACTCACGAAACATGAATCCCACTGAAGTTCAGACTAAATTTATAAGCAGAGCTCTGACAGTCTCCCACCTAAGCAATACTTATTTACAATACTGATCTTATCTGAATAGCAAGTGATATCACAGCCAATAAGACCGGCCGCTGAATAAAATGTATTAACGAGAAAAGGCATTTGAAGGAGCACAACTGAACATTAGTTTTATATGTGCCCACACACCATTGCTATTCACGAGAAATATGGGGCAACCCCCTGTGTCACCTTCTGAAAGTGCAAAAAGGGACATAATTTCAAATGTTCAGTAGTGTTTCATAATGCTTATAGTACTTCCTCCTGCAAGTCAGAAATACAATCTGGATACTTACAGGATTATCTCCTACTGTTTTTCCAGTAATGTGTTTGCACACCCCAGAAATCTAGAATGAAAGCTAGCTTTGATATGCAGACATTTAAATGCTTCAATCTGCACTGAATTACACCACAATAAACTGTTCTATGACCTCAAGTAAAAATAAAAAAATAAAAAATAAAGTCACATTACAGCCAGTGAAGAAACTGTAGCATGTGCAGAAAGACTAGACCATGGGACAGTACAACGTAGAGCCAGCATGACATTACCTGGTTTAGATACTGCTAGGAGCACACAGTGATAGGAATTGCAGCTCAAAAACTCAGCAGAGCAGCAAAGATCATGAGATTGGCTGTGGTCCGTGCTGGTTAAATCACTGTCATCATGCAGACATTAAAATGTATACATATTCAGAATAAGGAACTGAACTGCAATCCATAGGCTGTATTGTAACATGTATGTGCACTTTAAGTATTCTGTAGCTAACAAGTCAACGGCACTAGCAGCAAAAAAACAAAGCATCTGGAGGACACCAAACATTCATTGAAATGAACCGGTGAGAAACTACATCATCAGTGGACAGACTTATATGAGAATTACAGCATTAAGAAATATTCTCTGCCCAAGCAACGATCATACAATTTCCTTAGGTATCACCACTTGCTGGAAGATGCTGTTTCTGTGCAGCTGTGGGACACGAGATGCATCGATTTGTCACACAAAATATCCACAAGTCCTGTGAACCAGTACAGAACTTTGCTTTTGCATTTTCAGCAATACCATGAATGTAACGATCACCGAAACAACCCAGGAAAGGCTTTTCTTCACATGAGAGAACTGCAGATGGTTTTGTTTGTTAAATAAAAGCAAATCTTAAACAGAACAGTTTGATTTATTACACATTACTGAAGGAAACAGCTCACTTTAAAATGCCCTGCCAATAATGAGCTCATATGAATAATTTGATAATGTCCTTAGGAGAGTAGGTTATTTTGCTTACCTTTAGAAATCCTAGCTAAATTCATCAAGGCTTCATGTCATTCATACACAAAACCATGACCTCGTCAGATGATTATTTCAAAATTTAAGCTCTATCCATCAACTAATTAACAACAGCAAAACTATTGTGACATCATTATTATCACTTCTATTAATCATTTCTTTCTACTTTATGTTTCCTGCTTGCTAATTGCTTATTGTTTGATGAGTAAGCACTTCCCTTGAACAATGCCCTACAATGGCTTATGGTCATTATAAAAGCAGAAGCAAAGACAGAAGTAGCTTTAAAATTTGTATTTTGTATATATGATTGCATTGTATTTCTAAATTATTATATGATCTATTAAAATATATTTTACATGCAGGTGTGCATACATATTCATATATAAAAGGGCCAATGAAGTCCTTCAGTTCATTTCTTTCAATGACAGTCTCAGCAAGACTAGAGGCTGATTCATGACTCTTGTACCTACTTTAATGAGGGAGACTTTCTGAAGTTGACGCCTCTGGTGTGAATTTCCAGACTGCTGCCTCCTACTTAACTATGCAATGCCCATCAACTTCATTGGACATGAAAAGAACTAGAACTCCAGGATAGCTAAAATTTATAAATCATGTCCTTCACCCATTTTTGTTTACTGCAAAGCGTGGTGAAGACAGGAAGGAGACAGACAAAAAAATTACAAACCAAAAGGAAAAAAAAAGACACTTTCAAAAGGCACTTTTACAGTGCTGCCTCCCCAATGTTTCAATTTTACATCATAAGTATATTTACAATATATTTAACGTCTTTTGGCTGTTTACAGCAGGACCACTAACTACTGAAGCATTAGAAAGTACATCTGTAACCACTATTTCTTGATATGGGTTTAATCTGCATCAAAGAAAAGCTGGTTTTGAAAAAGGAAAGAATCAGTCCAGGAAATATGTATTCTTTTGGCATACTTGAGAAACATGATTGCCTGAGGATGGCAGGTAATTGCAATGCAAACCTGTAAAACTAGAATTAAATTATATCTTACGGTAGACAGTGCGGCACCCCTGAAAGCCTACCCTCAGGTTAAGCAGGTACCAATTTACTCAAACCCAACTCAGAAGAGGAGAGAAACAGCCACATCTATAATAAAAATCTGACTATTTCAAAGCTGCACTACTACAGCTGAAACAACTAGTAGTGCAGTTAAGGGGTCTGAAATTTCCATTTAAAACACCAAGTCTTCTCCTCTCTCCCCCAGTCCCTCTTCGTTTTCTTATTTCATTCTGCAAGTGACCTTAGCCGAGCACCAGCATGGCTCATCCAGTCTTGCACCTTGAGTGAGCAAACAAAAGCCGTCATGCGCAAGGGGATGCATGGCTATCAGCATAAGACCATCCTTCTCTCTATACACAGCCAGGTGTTTACCGAGGAGAGTAAAATAACTTCTGACAGTATCAACTCCCCTATATTACATATTGTCTTTGAAAAAAGCTTATGTTTGGGACGATACTAGTGAAGAGGTAGAAAGCAAATTCATGGAATTCAGAAATGTTTATTTTAGTGATCATATTGTCTCTGATTGCTCGATTTGCCTCTCAGAATAGCATTTGCTGTTTCATAAAGAAAAAACCCCATACTTCTCCTGTTTTCCAGACTGCAGAACAGGTAGATTTATGTTTGTATATGGTCTTGAATTACTACAGAACTTATCACAATAATTATGTGATCATTCAAACATTAACTTAGAATTTTAATGTCTATCAAAACACATTTGATGGCATTTAAGCAATAGCTTAAGCACTACTTAGTAACTTGTGGTGTTTACTTGATGGACTGTAAAGAATAAAAAGGGATATTTAAACCACACATACTTATCTATTACAAGCACTTGAATTTCTAAACTAAGCAATGGTTGACTTAAAAATCCATTCTAGCATTAGTCTTGCAGGTCAGCTGTAAATTACTCTAAAATGTCTCTTGAATAAACCTTACACATTTTAATACAAATTGTGTTTTGCAGGTTTTTTTCCTTAATATCCATTTTAAAATGCAGATGTCATTACAAGACTTATGAAAATCTGTATTAAGCAGTCTGTGACAAGACAGCTTGTGTGAAAAAAAAAAAAAGATTCCTGAATGATGCTAATGGGGATGACAATTGCCATTAAGATTCAAATCTATTACTAAGGCTTCTGGGGAAAAAGCCTCACACGCTTTCCAATTTCTGCTAGTTAAACACAGTGAGATTCTACATAAATTCTTTAGCATGAGAGGTACAAATAACATCTAAGACAAATCCCAGTAGATTGAGTTGATGGATGTATATGAAAATGGCAACAGAATCAGTCCCACAAGGTGCCAATAATTCTCACTTGTACTAAGCGTATTAGCCAGATGATTACCTTCTAGCCAGTCCCAGATCAAGAGCGTGCTTAAATGCTTCTCTGGATCAGAACTCAAAACCTTGCAGAACCAAATCCTACATATAAAACTATATAAGCCAAAATCTGCCGAACAACATTTGAGAAAAAAAAAAATATTTTTAGTGCTGTGAAAAATCTATAGTCTGCTAAAAAACAAGTTTGGGATTCTTGGGGGAGGATGTTTGTTTGGGGGAGTGTTACAGTTATTTACATATTTTTAAATAGATAAAGCAATTCTATTGTTTATGACTTCCCCTGGTTAAATGTTGTTCAGGTTGATGCAGTGGCAAAGGAACAGAGTTCACTGAATCAGTCCTGGAGAGTTTGGAGAAGATTCAACCCTAACTGAAGCCAGGGGGAAAAAAAAAAAAAAAGTATGACCTAACTCATGTAACTGACCAAGTAGTTTTTATAATTATATACATTAATTTCTAATAGCATCAAAGAAAAAAGAAAATCATGAAGACAAACACAGGAATGACAATTCAAGACAAGGATAGGTGTTTCCCAGCTATTGTTCTATTAATATCCCAAAAGTTCTTCTATTTAGTTCTATTTCCATTTACCCAATTTTATCAGTAGCACATAGGATTCTAGTATGAACAATCAAGAAAAGTGAGACATGCTTTAATACATTTATCTTTAAAGTGAATGCAAGACAGCATTTGGAATCTGCTTACAGTTCTCAATTAAAAAAATTTCAGTAACAGTAGTAGTGATACTGAATTTTGCCATCAATAGAACATACTTTTCCCACGTACACCAGTCCCCATGTACGCAAGTCCTTAACTGACTTGGGAGGTCATCAGGAAGTTTAGGTGTGGCTCTGTTTTACAGAACTATTTCTCTCCTCTATAAATCTAATATTCGTAACTGGGTTTTGCCAGTATATCTTTTTGGTTCTGCTATGTTAAGAGAAGCAGCGATTGAAAATTCCAGGACTTTGCTGTTTATGTGCCAAACACTCTCTAACTCCTATAATTTCACTAGAAGAATTGCTACCAATGCCATGTTCTCACAGATTTATTTACCGGGACTTTTAATCTAATATTGCAAGAATGAAGCTCTACGCAGTATAGGAAGTACTGGCACTTTAAAAGTAAAAATAGTTGTATTAGACATTTATTTTTAGTAAAACACAAAGATCATCAAACCATTCTTTTGTGGTTCAAAAAGGAAAAAAATTACAAGAGCAATACATGAATAAGAATCTAGGACTAATATCTGGGACTAATGGAATACAGTCATTTGCTAAATGATACAATACCTGCCAAAATAAGCTATGCGCATCTCCTCTAATTAGCTCAATAGTGTCCCCAATCTGGATATGCAATGGTGGACCATCTTGTGTCGCTGGCTGTGGTATCCCATTGTAGTTTCGAATGACTTGCATTTTTGGTAAACCTGAGCAAACAAAACCAAAAAAGAAACAAACAAAACATAAATCAGTATATATTTTTAGTTAACAACAATTTCTAAAATCTGAAGACTACAAAAGGAATCAAAGAGACACTATGTCTTTAATAGGTACCTAAGGCACTAAAGCAATGCCTTAGTACTATACCATGTATAACCTAATAGAAAAGAACTACTTCGAAAAAATATCTTTGTCCTCCTTTCTTGATTTCACGTCTGTGGAGGCTCTTTCCTCTACATGTGCACCCCTGGCTCTGTATAAGGTTCAAATATTAAGGCCATCTTTGTAGTTCAAGGCAAAAATTGTGATGAACTAGTATTAAAGACACCAGTGTGGATAATCTCATCAGCTTTAGACCAGTATTACCAAAAAGCCTACTGCTGATGTGAACATGTCCAAGAGACTAAGGATGACAATCCTTCTAGGGTTCTCATAAGACTTTTTTCTTCTTTGTTTTGTTTAGATTTTCAGGTTTTGACAATATTTTTGGATACATGTAGCACAGCCTGGAGCAATTTAAGGTTTCATTTTCAAGACAGGAACTCTAGCTGCACACTAGTCCTTCCACATCAACACTGGCTGCTTCCAGACAGCTGATCTGTGATTTTTTTTTTTTTTTTTTTAAAGGGAACAATCCACTTCTTGAGACAAAATATTTTCCCAAAGATTAGTCTCTGCCTGTATAAAGAAGTAAATCACTGTATAACTACAGTTCAAGAACCCTCCACAAGCACGTATCAAATGAGGGGTGGGGGACAGGATTTCAGCTGGAAGAGAAAACTGTGGGTATTGTAACTCCATGTTCTTATAACTATAATGGCATTTAAAAAAAAGCAGAATACTTAGAGCATTATGAACAGCCAGTGTATTGCACTAAAAGAGCATGCTGTGATATTATAAGAATACTCGAAATCAAGTGAAGTACCACCCACTCCATAACAAACATAGTAAAGACTTAAAAGCTTTTAGAAAAGCATTTTTTCCCACTCTTTATACTGCCAAGGAAAGTATCATTTTAACAGATCTATTTTTAAGTACTCTCCCTCCATCTTTAAATAAAATTTTATATAATAATTTCCCATTTTTAATTGCACATGGAATGTTAAAAATTGCTACAATTAAGTGGGCATATCCATTTATAATCTTAACCAGAAAGTTTTTGGTTAAGTAAGATTTTGTAACAACATATATTAATAAATACAAATAAGAGTGAAAGCATGCAAGGTCAAGGTTGCTTGGCTGCCATATTTAACCAGTTTCTTGCTGGAGAGTCATGATTAACTTAATTCTAATAACAAAGGATCAGCAGGCCTATAAAAGACCTATTTCTGTTGCAAGATCACTACTGTAATTTAGTTGGCTAGAAATACAAATATTCATGATCTCCTCTAAATTGTATGAAACATGAAAGAGCTCACCTTCAATAATTACTACACTCTGTATTTAAGAATAAATACTAATCCAAAGTGCTGATGAAACATTAAGCAAAGTAATAGCCGCTCTTATGTTACTCAACCCAAATGACACCATAATTTTTACTATTTCTTGAAGTTATCTGGCATACTTAAAATGAGCACCTAATTATTAGTAAGCCATTATTCTACTTAGATAAATACTAGACTTTGCTTTATTTCTCAATTGAAGGCTGTCATTCTTTCAAATAGTGATTCAGCATCAACAAATGCTGCATTTATTGGATGGCAAATAGAAGCAATGCTGCATACAAGTTTCTACTCAAAAGCTGACAATTTTGTCCTAATGCAAGGCCATCACAATGTAAATTATAAATGATAGCACTGTGATAAACAAACTGTAAGCATGCACTCCACTCATCCTGGAGACATACTTGGAAGTTGAAACAAATGCACAAAAAATCATTCACATTATGAAACCTTCTATCAGGTGACTTAGGTCATCACACTTTCAGTGTGCAGATACAATATACTTGTAACACCACCTTTGTATTCATCTCATCAGAAGACAATCAAGGAATATTCTCATGTACTTTTCAGTGCAAATTCTGTTGGTTTTTTTTAAAGGCACTACACTTCTAATCATAAACACATGTAAAATGACTTACTTCTATTTCACTGGTAATTATGATTATTAGCATCTCTGAAAACCAAGCCAAGAGAACATGGGGAAAAAAAAATCATGCTGTGTCAATGAGCAGAATTATTCAAAAGGTAACACAGAATTAATCATGTTAAAACATATCACACTTAGAATACTTGTGTATAATTCAATATGCTTAATTCTGTAAAATCCTACAGCAATTTTGATTATAAAATTCCCTTGGCAGATACAACGTTGGAAGATTTGATCTAACACCTCTCGACATCACGAGAAATAAACCTATTAATTTAAATAGGCTTTCGAATTAGGGTCTTAAACTTCATTACTTTGCTTCAGATCCCTTAAAACTTCTTTGCCATAATGCCTACAGAAACTGTGACAACTACAGTGTTGACATGCTACAGCTGCTCTCTACAATGGTGACCAACAAAACTTCTACTGTTATTTTACTACCTAATTTCATCCAGTTGTTGTCTCTGGTCTACTTAGGAGTTCTTTGTGCTCAACATTTTCTTTGCTATGAATACACACTGCCTAGCACAATGTATACACACTGCCTAGCACAATGTATACACACTACCACCGGACCTACATAAACCAGCATCTGGAATAAAAGGGATATGTGGCTAGGATTCCCATGCATTGCAATAATACAGAAGAGCATTGTGATTTCATTGATTATTGTATTACTTTCATTCACCCACTTTAGTAATGATACTGTGGGCTAGCTTCAAGGCCACTGATCAAAGATGCATGTATAAACAAGGGAAACAATGCTAAATTATTTTAGCATACCTTAGATTTGACTCAGATTCTGAAAAGTACTTTGTACCTCACAGTATAACAACTGAAGGTAAATTCACTCTCCAACAACAGGAGTGTCTGAGTCACAGAGAATATATTCGTTTCAGTATCAGTAATACAAGACATGCATAGACAGCCTGTACTGATCATAGATATGAAAGCAGTGAATGTGCAACTAATGTGTTTTATCCATTGTATGAAAGTATCAAAAGGACCTGTCCCTGTTACATGATTTTAAATTTTTTTTTTTTAATCATTTTTCCAGGAACAAAAGACTAAATGAAATCTTTCAATCCATCAGAAACTAGCACATCCTATCCTGGAATGGCTATTTGTCCATAGACAAATGTTTTTTTCACAGAACGTCCCTTATATCACCATTAAGCACGGAGGAAATAAATGGGGTACAGAAAAGTTAATAAATTGAGGTAGAATCAAAAGAGCTCCAAATAGAATACTCAACTTTGTTTTCATCATATAATTACAGATTTGATAACAGTAGCTCAGAAACAGTTTAGCAGATTAACATTGAGATGGTGTACAGGTAGTTGGACAGAATCTAGTCAGCCCTTCACCTCTTAACCCACACAAAATACACAGGTGGGATGGATCAAGGCCCAGCCATTATCATCACAGGAAACAGCTTATACAATCTTTCAGCTGTTTAGCAAGCTTATCCTAAAACTAATTAACTTGTTCCTACCCTTCATTTTAGAACTTTATTCTCTGAGCATTTAGAATCTACTTTCCAGGGTAAATTTGTTCATGGCCAACTTAGATCCACCTAGAGACAGCAATCTGAATAGTTCTCTTCCTTGTCTGCATTTATTTTCATAATGTAGTTAGAGAGAGCAATCATACCCCTTTTTAACCTTCATTTTGCTAGACTGAACAAGCCAAGTTCTTTTAGCCTCTTCTCATAATGGATCAATTCCTCTGAGGCAGTATAGCAATTGCTTTACAGACAAAATCTAGAACATTTTCCTTGTCTATCTTGAAATTTCATTCTTAACTGGCACATGGATTCATCACTAATACACTCATTAAGAATCCTGAGGACTTGCTGTAATATAATAACGCAGACAAGAAAGTGTGTGTTACAGAAACCTGAAGTGTTTTAAGTGTAATTATGGATTATTTGTGATAGAAACAGTATAGAAACATTATATGTTAATGACTAAAATGTGAAATACACTAAGCATTAGAAACACTGCCATTGCAATGGACATAGCTGCAGCACTGAGAGTATCTGACAACTGCAGAAAACTTCTGGAAACATATCTGCCACAAAAATGTTATTCATGAATGTGTTTAAAAGCAGATAAAATTCCAACACAAAGGATGAGGTCGGTATTTCAGTCATGCATTATTATAATAAATGGCAAAAAATCCCATTGGCTTCCATGAGGTCAGATTTCCATATGACTGAAAGCTTCTGTCAGGAAACTTCCTAATCTAAAGATACAAAACCAGCCTGGCAGTTTCCAATCCTGAAATCAAAAAGCAAACTGACCCAGTTACTCCACCAATAAATAGCTGAAATCTACTTCACTTGAATACCAGGAGAAAAACTAGAGTCCTAGAAAAGTCTTCACAGCCAAGCTCTGGGTCACAGACCTAACACAACTTGATGATCTAAATCATAGCTCACAAGAAAAGCAGAAAGCACTGTAGAGTCAGGGTTTACAAAGTACCTATTTGGCTACATTATAGAAAAATAAAAACTTTCATAAACCATATCACATATTTGAGTGCTTAATCTCATAGTTATGAGTCAAGGAAGAAGGTTACATTTTAGAATTAACATAGCACATAAGTTAGAATACCCATTATATTTGAAATGATGAGAACATATAAGCTACTTGTATTCCTTACAGCAGCTCTGCATTTATGAATGGCACTGAACGACCCTCAGGGTTTCACACAGAGATTCAAAAATGGTATTTTTTGCTAACAACATGCATAATGCATGCCCTATGATGACCTCTATCTGTTCTAAATTGATTCCAGCATCTGTTATTTCCAAACAATGCAGAACACGGTTTATGCTCTGGGCAGGGATCATTTTAACATACAGAATAATGACAAGAGTATAGGAGAACAGAGT